AAGGGCGCCTGGAGGCCCGCGCTCAGCCTCTCCTCCGTCCTCACCTCCATCCAGCTGCTGATGGGCGAGCCCAACCCGGAGGACCCGCTGATGGCCGACATCGCCCGGGAGTACAAGTACCACCGAGCCGCCTACACCGCCACCGCCCGCAGCTGGACGCAGAAGCACGCCGGGGCCACACACAAGAGGGGCGGCCAGGAGAGGGAGGAGCCGGCCAAGGGGCCCTGCATGGGGGAGGAGGAGTGTGACGTCACTGGGCGGGCCGAGTGATCGCGTGTAGGTGAAGAGGCTGCCTCTTGGTGACGTCACGTGACTTTCTGACAGGCTGTTCATGTGACTGTAGAACCACAGACTCCGCCTTATCCTCCTGGTGTCACAGAATGCCCCGCCCTCAATGACAGCCAGATTCATGACATCACAGGATGATCCCACTGGCAGCCGCTGTCCCCATATGACTCTTGAACAAATCCCTGGTGGTATCCCAGCATGCCCCCACCTTGAATGACTTGCCAGACTGATGATGCTCCACCCTTAATGACTGCCTGATTTTATGATGCCGCTGGATAGCGTGGCAGCTGCATGGATCCAGAACCAATCTGGCTTCCCTCCGATGGTGCCCCGTCATGCTTCTCCCATTCATGGCAGCCTGTCGTATGACATCATAGAAGGTTCTGCTTGGCAGCTGGTGTCCCCGTGTGCTCCATCCTTAATGACTTCCTGTCTTATGATGTCACCAGATGGTGTGAATGGCAGCCAGTGTTCCACATCAATGGTGGCTTATCCCCGGTGGCATGCCCTGTCTCATGATGAAATGGCTGCCGCTATCTCTGTGACTACTAAATCAATCAACCTGCCCTGATCCTGACTGTGTCCCAAACATGCTCCACCCTCAATGTCCGCCTGTCTTTTATGATGTCACGGGATGGTGTGAATGGCTGCTCTTGTCCCCAGGTGACTTCACAACCAAAACAATCCGCCATTCTCCTCACGGTGGCCCAGCATGCTCCTCCCTGAATGGCGGACTGTTTCATGATGTCACAGCAATGGCTTTGAATGGGTTCACCGCTGTCCCCGCGTGACTCTAGTATCCAACAGCCGCGCCATTTCCCCGATACCCCAGCATGCTCAGCCTGAAGGATGTTCCGCATATCTGCCGGTGACTCCT